ACGCCGCCCTTTGCACTGTGATCGACGTTCGTTGCGGCTAAACTTCGCTTCAAGCCGCAGCACAGTGTGTTCCACTTGTAGCCCGTCCTTTAGTCGTCGATCGTTGTCAGTCGTGTCGTGGGACTTGAGGAAAAAGAAATCTGCCCCTCACTGATGCCGGGCATACAACCGTCGACCTACAGTCGAAGATTCCGTTGTTGTCGTTTGGCTTATTGTTCACGAACTCTGATCCATAGACTGGGCCCTCCGTGTCAAACAACCGCTGAGCTTTTAGCGTGGAGGCTTTTAGCTCCACGCTAAACAGACTGGCCGACGATTCCCTTACCCTGACCCCTGAATTATCAGTTCGCTGCTGGCATCTCCCTTTTCCACACCAGCGTTTATGCGAGGCTCGATCAAAGGATGCCAATCAAGAATCGCCAACGGGCTCCAAAAGCCATTGCCCTGGCAATTTGAGAACTTTCCAGGGTCATGGTGATTGCAACCCTGGCTGAGTCATGGAGCAGTGTCTCATGGAGCGCGCTGTTTGACAAGCGTCATGCCGATGAATTGCGCACACCCCCAGTCATGTGGAATATAAACTGTCGGAGGCACTATCGAAGCTCTGAGTCGCTCTACGTTGGTCCAGAAAGAGACGGGCGAGTCACAGAGGCAGCGCTGGGCTGTTCCTTCCCCAGTGTGCTCGCATCGGCATGACTGCGTCCCATTTGGTTTTGCCAGATGATAATGAGTCCGTCCTAACTTCGACACGACGCCAAGGCATCATCAGCCTGCCATGCTATAACACCCTGGCTTGGAATGCGGGCTGTTGATAGACAGCCTGCGCTCTACGGACAAGGACAAAGACGACAGGAGCAGAAAGTTTGAACTCACTGATATCTGACGCCACTGAAGCCCTGAACACGATGTTTCGATCGATGATTTCCAAGTGGAGCCATCGTTCGGCACACCCTCACAGCCAGACCACAGGCGAGAGCCTCGGCGGCAGCGGCAGGCCGGTTCCGATCGGGACGAACTCCTCCATGCTCGGAGGAACCGCTCGTGGAGCAGGTGATGCAATGTCAGCGGTAAGTGATTGCTGGCTAACAGCCCAGGTGGTCTATCTGCAAAGAGCGGCAGGAGAGGGGGAAATGACGTTTGACAGGCAGACGTCGCGGCTCACGATAACTACGACACCATGAACCCAGGCCAACTGATTGTACGCCGTAGAGATCGAACACTGTGGTGGGTGATCAGGCGGCGCTCATCGCCACATCTTCTGTTGAGGCGTTGCACGTGCGGGAGTCGGGACCTGCGTATCCTGCAAGTGCAGTGACGACACTGAGAGCAAAGACCGAATTCAGTCC